TGACGTCTTTTGTTACTATCCTATACATGTATAATATCTACCTTACTGGTTGTATAGGTAGGTTTGTTCAGTGAAACCAAAAGTTATATATATATATATATATGCACTGTTTCTTAATCTTTTGTATCATGGGGAAGCTTTCCGTTTTTATAATATTAACTAGTCAGGGTTTGTCTTCAAGTTTGCCAATGTATGCCACTGCGCTTAAACTCAAGAAAACTAAGTCAAACAAGGAGACCGACCCATGCATTGATTGGGGTTGGGAGTAAGGTATCTGGTAAATCCTCCAGCTTGACACTATGCTAACCAGCATTTAAACCCCTTAGATTACACTTATGAGTAATTTACATTTATTAACCCTTTATAAAGCTGAAATTGCTGATTACACCATTGTTATAGTAGTTACCAGTAGTCCTACCCTATTTATTTATTTAACTTCTTTTCTTCGTCCAGTTGATTTTCATTCATTTTCCAGGCTTTATTGAATTCGCTAGCACTTTGATACAACTGACTTTAGCAACGAGTTCTAAATGGTTATATTCTACAGGTCAGTAGGTGAACAAGTTACGTTAAACGTATGACTGGAATTGACGCTATCTAACTATAATTTAAAAACAGTGTCATCAATCAGACACCACCTGCAAACAATTCAGTGGATTTATTCTTTTTAGTGCAATCTGCTGACGACAGTTTTAAAATGTACTAGCCGTGACATATATACAACTAGGAGCCTTTTTCTTGAAGTGTCACCTTCTTGAATATGAGAGTCAAAATATAAGCAGGTAGTCATTGTGACAGGTGAACAAGTTCGTCGTACCTGAGGCAGAAATAAGAATCCTTTTGAGTCGACTATCGGAGTTTGGGGAGATAACTGAACAGGGAATCTGCAGATTACTAGTTTGAATACAGCAACTATCAGGGCTTTCTTCCAACTCTATCCATCCTACTGACACCATAACGCTGAGTGAAACCTTCGTGAATAGTTTGACCAGCAGTTATCCAATAAATTCTGACTACATTGAATATTCCCATTTAGACATTTAGAAAAAGACTGATTGAGCGAAGAAATATATTCCTTTTCAGTTAGGTCTTCATCTTGAGCACGGCATGGAAATAGGTATTCCAGTCTCCATATTGAAAGAACCGCTTCTGAGGTGTACGATGAATGCACAATTTCTTTTCAACAATGAACTCTACCGGCAATCTGATGGTGTTGCTGTGGGGTCACCCCTTGGCCCACTCCTAGCAGATTTTTTCTTGCAAAACTTGAGAATGGTCCACTGAACGACACTATTAGCCGTTTGGAGTTATATTGTCGTTTCATGGATGATACCTTTATAGTTCTCAAAAGTGAGACTGATAAGAATGCTGTTCTGAATAAGTTCAATAGTGTTCACCCGGCAATCAACTTCACAATGGAAGAGGAGAAAAATGATAGTATCCCATTTCTTGATGTTCTGTTGGTAAGAAGGTCTGATGGAACCCTGAAGCGAGGTGTTTATAGAAAGCCAACATCAACAGGTCAATATAAGCACTTCTTTAGCGCTGTACCCCTCCAATACAAAAGGAACCTAGTAAAATGCTTAACTTACTGTGCCTCAGCTATTTGCTCAGAGGATGCCATAAAGGAAGAGCGCTCCATCATCCGTGATCTGCTTAGTAGGAATGGCTACCCAGACAAGTTTGTAACTAAGCACATGAATACTACGAGAGTTAAGACAACGATGCTAACAGTTCCTAAGAAGCAAATCTTCTTGAAGCTGGAATTTAAGAGTGATATTGCCAGTGAGATCATCACACAACGCATAAAAAGAGTCTTGCATAAAGCATTCCCAGCAGCTAAATTATATCTCGCCTTCTACAACCGCCCGATTCTAGGTGTAAGAAATAAAGAGAAACTGCCTGATTCTGCCACTTCTATGTGCATTTATCAATTCAACTGCTTCCGTGGAGCTAGTTACATTGAGCGTATAATGAGGCAGTTCCATCGTCAAATTTCTGAGCACCACCCATTACGGTTGAACAAGGGACAAATTAGAACTATAAAGAGCTCCATACTTGCACACTTAGTTGACACAGACATCAAGTGGTTACTGGGAAAGCCTTCAAAGTCATCCATCAGATTCCAATTAATTTACCTCATGGGTTACGCACTCGGTTACTTCACACAGCAGAGGCGACTGCAGTCCACCTTCACAAACCTAGCCTTTGTATCCAAAAGAAGTTTGTTCGACCACTTTCATTACCATGGCCATCAACATGATGTAACTTCTAGGTTTACTTTGTACACCTCTTCTCCTTCTTGTTTCTATCAATATTCATATTTCCAATTTTAGTAACTCTATTGATTATTTACATCATTATTTCTGAAATGTCACCAAGTGATTGGTAATTTAATTAAATTGTAAACCTATATATTAGTGTAGAGCCCAAGATGAAGACCTAATTGAAAAGGAATATGTTTCTCCGCTCAGTCAGTCTTTCTCTTAATTCTGACTATTCAAATATCAAACTCCAACAGAGAATATCCACATAATAACTTAACAACATTTTTTTATAACAGTACTATTAGATGCCGGATGGCTTGCACCGTAATGAAAGTTGTATGTCTAAGATGTTCAGCAGTGAGAAATCTCTATCAACTGAAGTATTTATTGAAAATGTAGACTTCAACTAAAATTCCATATTTCGCCCGGTAATTTAGGTTGGCTATTCAGTCTGATGGCAACTAAATATTTGGCATTGGCTTATTTTGTTAAAATTATTATTATTATTTTATCTCAAATTGCTTGAATGTTTGTTGCTTCCTTTGCTACAGTATTCTGTAGAAATACTTCCATTCCAATAAGATGCAATGAAGTACTGAATGAACATCAAATATGCTGGACATATATATATTAACAATCCTTCTGGCTACTTCGTTTGACTTTGCTTCAGTAGAATACTGAAGCAGACGTTTAATTGTAAAGTTTCTTGGCGTGATATTTCGTTAAAATACTCAGGGAAAACAAGCTTCGAGTCAATTCTAATATTATTCAAAGACAGTTTACCTTTCAAAATATTCTGCCTAAAGGATAAGTCTCCGTTATTCGTCACTTCATCAGTCAGTTCACTTACTGAACTAGTACTCTGAAATACTCCTTTTCTCAGTGTTCAGTGCACATTTTACAGTGAATCGTACAAGTTTGATCTACAGGCGAGAATATTGTTTGAACTTATTCATGAATAGATCCAAATCAACTTCCTTGAATAACGTTTCAAATAAAAAGTGAGTAGAAACAACTTTTCCGTAAGTCCGATATTGTTGAATAAACCTTGTGCACTGTTATAGGATATAATTGCATATTAGATTGTATATTTGGCATAGCAGACGGATATACAGTAGTATTTACTAGGTGAGGTCTCGAGGAGAATTTAATGTTCATATTCACATCAAACTAACTATACGAGTTTCAAACTTCCTTTATTTTGGTATTACAGTGGACTACATGCAGTACGTGACCATATAAACAACTAAACAGTAACACTGTGCAAAAATCTTTGGTTTTTTGTATCTTTAATCACTTAATTTGCTGTAGACGTGAAGATAAAGACTTACCAGTTTCACTGCAATAAATTTGATAAGATTCTGAAGAATTTCATTGTATTCAGCCTATTATTTGTTGTTTCTTCTGCTTAAAATATTTATTCTTAAGTACAGACGAGTAATGTCAGAGGCAACGTTAACCTTGAGTATACCCAGTTTCATATCTGTCATCGTAGTGACTGAAGTGTTGAAAGTGAAGTTAGGTTCTTAGTAGGAACAGTTAGGCAACATGATGCTATGATGTGGCACGACTGATGAAAACAAAAATGTCTCATCGTTGCAGTTATAGCAGAAAACCAATATTTATCAATTAGGTTTCAGTCCGTTACCTTTTGATTTTTACAGATTACATTGGGCTTCTAAACTTTCTGATAATGTTGGCTTACAATGAAAGTGAGAGCATAGCTTTTTAATTTCCGCTTTTTGATGATAGAACCTCTATTCTGAACAATATTTTAGCATACCACACAGAATTTTCAATATTTTTGGATGCGGTTGTTCTCATCAAAGTATTTGTCATACAATGATGAGTAGTTTCAATGTCGCACAAAATTTCAAGCTGTCTTCGTCAATTGTACTTAAACTGAGTTTTTTTTCGTTTATTAACAGTTTCATTTCTTCACTGTAAAGCCACCTTCTCCGGTAATATTGCTGAATACTTTTTTGCTTTTTCAAGGCGAATCAGTTTTTTCATTTATACTTTGTACATATTTTTCATGTCATGCAGAAGTAACCTTACAACTGGGGTCTTAAGACTGCGGTCAGTATATTTTTTTCAGACAACTTCAACTTTGTCACAGCACTTCCGTTTCATGCTTTTCAGGCCTGTTGGCTTTTCATAAAATACTTATGCCTGGATGTATTAAAGTTTGTATCTAATCTGTGTGTGATTTAAAAGCAACCAATCAACATCAGTTTTATTTCAGTACGCTTACCATTTTATATCAGCACCAGCTGCAGCTACAGAACTATCAGTGAACACAAACCCTCCGACGAAAGTCGAAGTCCTGAATGCCATAAGGCTACTGAAATGTGGGAAAGCAGCAGGACCAGATGGAATCCCACCAGAAGCACTGAGAACAGACGCAGGGACAACAGCAGCGGACATGCTCATACCACTACTGCAGAAATCTGAAAGGAAGGGAAGGTACCTGGCTAGTGATTGGAAGAAGGGTTACCTTGTCAAACTGCCGAAGAAGGGAGACCTCAGTGTTTGCAAGAACTGGTGAGGAATCATGCTGCTGTCCACACCCACAACAACAAAATGTTATGCCGCATCATCCTGGAGAGGCTGAAGGCTGCACTGATTCAAGTTTATCATCTTTCGGTTCCTGCAGCTACGAGTCTCATCCAACAAATGAGTTTTTTCGCACATTACTGTTGATTATTTATTGTAATTTATTTCTGTTTCCAGGAGGAACTCATCTCATCATTGCTGGTGATTTCAATCTCTTTCCATCACATGAAGGTTAGTTTGAAAATATTTTTTACGTAGATATTGTACCTATGCTTTAAGTAAATTTTAGGAACGTAGTGTCCGTATAAAGTTCAGATATTATAATATTTGAATAGTTTTGAAAATTAATTTCGACAAATTGACTAATAACTTCATTCATCAAATGTGAACCGAAGACAATAACCCTATTGTAAGTTGAATCCTGTTCATCTTATTTTGCAAGTGTTTCTTTGAATTCAAAATCGTATCGGAATACTGACTACCGATAAAATTCGTGTTGTAGCAGGACCTTCGAACGGCGAACCCTGACCTCTACCAAATAAGCTATAGTAATCAGCTGCTATCCTCGTTTTATTCAAACCTCTTACAATTTAAGGGCAAGCAAACAGTTGAATTCTTCGTGCAAAGCGTTTATATATATGTATATATATATATATATATATATATATATATATATATATATATATATATATATATATATATATATATATACCGAAACTCAAAAACATTTTACTGACGATATTTACGACGTATTAGTCATTTGAACCAATGAGAACGTTGATTAAGTCGATGGATTTTTGACAGCATCTGAGAGAGAAGAATGTACTGAGTAAGTTATTCACCGTCCTGGTTTACTAGTTCACTAGTTACTAGCCGGTCCTAAACCCGGATAAAGAGGGAAGGTTGGGCATAGGGCTAGCAACTTTACCCGGTAAAACCAATCCAATCCCTAAAGAGACTTCAAAGCACAAAGAAAATATAAAAAATAAACTTATTCTCTGCTGGAATCGGGGAGACATAGTGACGCCGGCTGGTGAAAGCCTTCGGGAAGCCAATTGGCCGATGTGTCTTCTCTCTATGAAAGTAAAAGTGAGAATGGGGACATAGAATATCCGCACCATATATGAACCTCGCAAGGCTGACCAGATTCCCAAAAAGATGAGAAGGTATGGCATAGAAGTGCTTGGAATTCGCGAGAGCAGATGGAATGGAATTGGACTCTCTCAACTGTCAACTGGAGAGTCAATAATCTACTCCGATATTGTCAACCAGACGACAACCACGAGCGCACTTGAGGAGTGGCTAATATGATATTGTCATCAGCACCGAAGGCTGTCATGAAGTGGGAACCAATCTCCTCCAGGATCATGACAGCAAGATTCAACTGAAAAGGAAGGAAAGTCACAATCATACAATGCCACACTAGGCTGTGCACCTACAAATAATGCATATGAAGAGAAGGAAGAATTTTATATGTAACTGCAATCAGTAGTGAACAAAACCCTACCCCAGATAGAGACATCAAAATTCTAATGTGTGAGGTGACATGAATGGGAAACTGGGAGCGAACAACACAGGAAGACAACTGATCATGGGTCGAGAAGCACTCAGTGAAATGATGAATGAGAATGGAGAACTGTTTGCAGACCTCTGTTCATTCAACGATTTGGTGATTGGAGTCAGGCAGTGTGTACAAACACAAGGATATTCACAAGGCAGTCACATAGATTTGATTTCACAAGATGGACACAGTAAAAATCAGATCAACATCATCTCAATGTGCAGAAAGTGGAGACGCAGCCTACTGGACACTATATCAGATCAAGAAGGTGAGTAGATGTAGGTTCACACCACTCACTATCTAGTGCAAGGAACCTACTTTCGAAATCAAGTTGAAAGCCTTCGGTGAAGGAGTTTGTGATAGACCACAGTTCAAGTCTAAGTTGAACACCCAGAACAGAAAATGAACTGAATGACGAAACTACAAAGGATATCTTCACGTCAGCCAGTCATCAGGACAAAATGGGAGACATTGAGCAACATCCCTGAAGGATCGGGCGTGGAAGAACACTGGAACTCTTTGAAGGCTATGTGGAAAGAAACCTGCATAACCGTGTTGGGAAGGAGGCAGAAGCAAGACAAGACAAGGAATGGATCTCGACAGACACACGGGAGCTGATAGAGCAGGAAGAGGAAGATGGTGAGGCAGATGAACCAGTGCAGTGCAGAGATGAAAAACGAAAAGAGGAACTATACAACGTATGAAACACTACACTGGACAAAGAAGTGAAGAAGGGTGCGCGGAGAGACGAAAGACACTTCTACGACACACTTGCAAGTGAAGCAGAACAGGCTGCAGGTAGGAGAGACAGAGACCTGACAACATTATATCAAATAACCAGGTTACTATCTGAGAGTGGAGAGATCGACGCAAATGAAACCAATGAGAGATAGTGAAGGAAACTCAGTTACCAAAGAGGAGGAACAAAGGAAACGATGGGATGACCACTTCAAAAAACTCGAATAGAACCACCACGACTTGCAACTCGTCCAGAAACACCACCAGTAGCCCAACCACTGAACTACCAGTGAACCCAAGCCTTCCGTCAAAGCAGCAGGACCATATGGAATTCCTCCAGAAGCACTGAAAACAGACGCAGAGACAACAGTGGACAAGCTCACACTACACCACTATTGCAGAAGGTTTGGAAGGAAGGAAAGGCACTTGCCTGTCGACTGGAAGAAGGGCTATCTCGTCAAACTCTCAAAGAAGGACGACCTTAGTCTTTACAGGAACTGGTGAGGAATCATGCTGCTGTCCACCCCAAGCAAAATATTAACGTGCATCATCGTGGAAAGACTACAAGATGTACTGGATTCAAAATGACGAACGGAACAGGCAGGCTGGCTGGATTCTGGAAGAACAAATCATGTGCGGATCAAATTGCAACGCTACGCAACACCATAAAACAGAGCATAGAATGGCAGTCAACTTAACTCTACCTCAATTTTATCGACTCTGAAAAGGCCTCTGACAACGTCGACTGAAAAGTAATTTGGCAGCTGGTTCAACACTACGGTTTTGGTGCGACAAACCTTTATCAATCTCATTCAACAGCTATATGAAGACCCCGCATGCCAAGTGATTCACAATGGAAGGGTCTACGGCAAAAACCAACAAGTTGACTGAAGAGGTGAGACAGTGAAAACAGTACTTTACCTGAACGTAGAGAAGTCAGAGATAATGAAAATACCCAACCAACAACAGCAAGCACCAATTACCGTGAACGGGAGAAGTCTAAAGGACGTGGTCTCGTTTACTTACCTACCTAGGCAGCATCGTTTCAGCTACAGGTGGCACTGATGAGGATGTCAAAGTCGGAATCGGAAAAGCAAGACAGGCGTTTATTTGCTTGAAACCAGTGTGGAGGTCTTCTGCACTCAGCAGGTGAAACAAGATCCGGATTTTCAACACCAACGTCAAGTCAGTGCTTCTGTATGGTTGAGAGACTTGGCGCGTTACGAAAAGCATTTCCAACAAACTACAGATATTCATCAACAGCTGCCCACGCTCGTTGCCGAAGATCAGATGGCCAGAAAGAATAAGCCTCAAGTAACTCTGGGAACAAACCAACCAAGAACCTATTACCCAACAAATATGCAGTAGAAGAAAGTGAAGATTGATTGGGCATACACTGAGAAGGCTGATTGGGGACATCACGCGCTAGGCCAGGCGGTCGAGTGGAATCCAGAGAGGAAACAACGAGTTGGGCGTCCCAACTGAGGGTGACATTGAGGAGATAGCGTGAGGAAGAAATTAAAGCTTGTGGGCAGTCTTAAAGCGAGGTTCAAAAGACTGTAGAGAACAGAGTACAATGAATGCGTGCTACTGAAGCCCTCTGTTCCACTGGGAATCCAAAGGACAAATAATAATAAGTTATTCACCCTCCTATAATTCGTTTCTATAAACCTGAATATGAAATTGTAATTCTAAAGCGACCTCTTTCCCGTCATCTGTAAGTTGGTTGACTTGTTGTCGTTTCTTTCAAATATTTTTCCTTTTCCAAGTTCCACTTCAAGATAAAAATCTCTGATTTTGATACCCTCTTAGCAAGTCACTTAACATCAAAGTAGGATTTCACTGCGGAATAACCGGGTTTTCCAAACTTGATATCAACACATCATGAATGTGGACACAGGTGAAAAGTGATAGATACATGCATCTAGATAGATAGATAGAGAGGATAGATAATGTTAAGTGCTTCTGAAATATTTTCTGTATTTTCAATGGAAATGTTGGAAGGGTTGTGTATTGTTAGCGTATGCATCTAGGAGAATTTTTCTTGTTTTTGTACTCCAAATTCACTAATTGCTCTAGATTTGCATAAATTGTTAGGTCTGTATGATTTTAAAGAGGGTGGACTGACTCCTAACAGAGCTAAGTATATATTTTGTATTGCGCTATTCTATTGCTGTTGGTCTCATTATCGTTTCATTCCTTGTTTTCTTATTTTAGTGTACCATGCTCTATATGAACACGGACTTTGGCCAGTACTCAAGGATGAACAACAAACTTCGTTGAGTCGTTACAGTCGTAAAAATAACAGTTTCAGAGCATACGACAATGCATGGCTTTCTGCGGACTTGTCGTTGACTTCCAAATCTGATGCTTGTTGGACAGGTTACTCTGGAATAATTTTAAAAGGACTGAAACATCCTTTGATACCAGAAGAAACAGGAAGTGGTGCCAACGGTTTTGTCAGTGACCATGCCCCTATATGGTTCGATATTCGTGTACCATGATGATGATAATAATTCATATTTGATTTGTATATTTTTTACTGAAAAACTTGCAAAAACGTGTGTACTGAATAATAACAAGTAACTATTCCGGCAATTTTATTATTAATCTTCAGCACCAGAACCAAATAATCGTTCGCAGTCAAACCAAGACTTTTCTATCTTTTCTGTAATAGTATCTTTCGTACTTTTGCAACTGGTCTTTTTCGGCGTTTTTCGTAACTTAGCCACCTGGAAAGATAAGTTGGCACTCTTAGTATCACGGATATATATATATATATATATATATATATATATATATATATATATATATATATTATATATATCACATAAGGTGAATATAAACAGTAAATGTTTGAAACGTTCTTCAGTAGATAATCGTTCTACTATGTTAGTCAGCTAATAATCTAGTCTAATACACAAACTAAAATGCGATATTGGGTTCATCAAGTTAATTTAATACTCTGACATTTCTCCTTCGGAACTTCAAAGTTAATTCCAAATTAGGCTCCTACTTTTTTAAAAATCTGGAAACGATTAATGTGTGTCGTTTTACATATCAAAATGATTATAAATGGTAAAACGTGACTTGCTCTGTAGCTGATGTAAATTAGCAACTTACTTTCTCAAGTGCTTGCACTTTGTGAAACCTAGGTGTATTCGTCAAAAATGGGCTCATATTTGTATTGATTGGGGATTCAAATTCTTCGTTCACAACATTCGATTCACTTTGATTGTCCAATTCATTTGTTGCAGGGTTTTTATCGTCGGTTAACTCAAAGAAAACTCTTCTACGTTTGACTGTTGAACCTGTTTGTCTCAATATGCCTTTCGATATATTAACTGGTGTTTCATTTATGCTCTAAAATAATAATCGTCATCAAGCATTAAGTAATTTTACCAGGCTATTTAGCCTTAAAGAAAAAGCCGGTGATTTGGAGTTTGAGTTACTTTTTCATAGATCTCTTTTGGCAGCTGCGTGCTAACAGGTGGGGAGTTTGAATAAATTTGGTGCTGGAATTCTCGATATTCCTTTTCGGTAGATCGAAGTTTCATTAGTTCTTTGTCATTATCAGCCAATATTATGTCTTGTTCGATTTGTTTTTGCTTCATTTTCTTTATTTCTTCACGTAGCCTGTCGTTTTCATCATTCGCCTCTTCTAACTCTTTTTCCTAAATGACATTTTCGTACTACATATTTATTGACTTACTTGACTCAATACCTTCGCTTCTAACTTTTTGACCTCTTTTTCTTTCGCTGTGTGCTTCTTTAGAATTTCTTTCTACAATTTACATACATTACGAGTGAGAGCTAAATAATTTTTGGATGGAGTAATAATATCCTCGTAGTGTATGCTGTATGCCTTTTCCCGGTGAATTTCGTACAGGGTTCTCATTTCCGCTCCTGATGTACATTAATTAATTATATGAATTTAATTTCTAAACCGATTATGAAAAACAGCTTATGTGAAATTAGTTGAACTACTACATTTGAAAATCCAAGAAGTCTTTCTTTTTTGTTTCTTCTGTTCTTAATGAATGTTACTAGACTGACGGAAATTATTGGTTCATGGAGAACTTGATATGACTGGTGTACTTACCAAACTTCTAGAATCGGCAGTTGTTTAATGCTTAGCTTCCACTGTAAAAGTGAACCGATGAAATATACAGTATATCAATCATAAATTAATTCTTTCAAGTTCTAGCAAGAAGGTGTGCATTAACCACTGAATTACTCTATTTTCACAAAGTCAGCGCGACTGTAATGGTCCATTTATCTTATTCTATTGCTGAAATTTTGCGTTGGTTACTCTCAGGCATATAAATCATATATTTAAGTGTAGGCCTTTAATAACCTAAAAGTTCATGCTGTACTGTTAGTCTAGCTATCCATTTGTTTCAGGTATCATACGTGGAGCTTGCATACCTCACAAGTGACGTACTTACGTGACTTCAGTAAAAATATGATAACGCTTACAGATAATTATTTTGCCATCGGGTAATACACCATACTTCCAGCCAACTGGATCTTATTATTCGCCGAAAGTCAACTAATGGGGTGACAGAAAACTGTTTTATAAGGGTTAAATTTAAGGCAGTTGAAGATGGTCACTAGATTATGCTGACGGCACTGAAATCGAGTTCACTGCTAAGCAGCATTATTTTTTTCCCACTGGTTGAACGATTTGTAGATTGAATACGTACTTATCACTTTATAGTTGTTGGATAAGAAGCCTGAACAGCTAATTTCAAAAGAAATATTACCGTAAAGATATCTTTCAGAAGAAGGATGCTCTAGTCGATGACTATTGTATTGTGACATGTAAACACGTAAATTTGTTGATCGCAATTTCTGACTAGTAACGCTAGGTTTTCTTGAGTAGTTTTGTAGCATGATTTATCCGGCCCTCAAAAACAGTCCTATGTTTTTAGTCTTACCCATCCTTTTTTATACTGGTTGTCATTTTGCATTTCATGTATGGTATTAGACTGTTTGATTGTTCAAATAAGTGCTATATTTGACTAATTGTCTGTATCCTATTTCTGACAATAGAGCTATAACTGTTGTTTCCCATCATTTAAATTGTAACCACTGGGTGTCTAGCACTCTGAAAGATTCTTGATTTTCTACGCTATATCATGGTTTATTATGTTCCTCATCTACCTTATAGCATTGTACTGTACGCTTTTGTAACATAAGTACCTGTTCATGATGGTGTACTCATCCCTTTCCACTCCAGTTAACATTTGTCCCATGTTTATCTTATACCACCTTGATTATTGAGGGCAAAGTGGTCATATAAACTACAGCATCTTGATTAGATATTGAGTCGGTTTCTGTCTACTAAGTAACTATCTTACTGCATGGAACATAAAGTTCTCTATGAAAATATTTCTTAGGTTTTAGAAGACTTTTTACCTATATTCAACCTTATAGTTTCCAGTATGACGTAAAATCTCAACTTAGAGTTTGTCTCTGCATTTTTCTTTGTAATCAACGGCTATTAAATGTAGAGATGAAGTATTGAATTAACAGTAACCATGTCTATGTATGCAGTTAAATTCCAGTCATTAATTTATATATATCAATACTTGGAGGTCAATTTCATCTTATATGACCTGTTTTCAGTCTGTTATTTTATCTCGGATTCTATTGGAAATTTTTGTCTAATATTGTGCATATATAACCAAAATCGATGAAGTTTTTTAATGTTCAGTGTGTTTTTACAGTCTAAAGTGTAAGTACAACGTGATTGATCAGAAAAGATAATTGAAATGAATCGTTTCATGGGTTTCAACTACATACTCACTTTAATACGAGACAATGTTTGACTCCTTATTCTGTGGTACGTGTGCTAGAATTTTTCGTCTTTGTGCTATTGATCAGTTTATACAACATAAGTCAGATGGTTGTTCCAGGTTGAGTTTGGGGAATGATTTATTTTTGGAATGTTCTCATTGTGATGAATGCTATATTTCGCCGCTTGATCTTATTGCACATGTTGAATGTGCTCATGGAATATCGATTATGAAGCATACTTCATTAAGCATGGTCAACAACAGTAGTGGCTTTCCACATGAAGTGATGACGGTTTCAGATACAACTAGTTCATCCTTCATTGTTGCGGAAGAAAAAGTAACTACAAACTCTGTGAATTCAAGTGATGTAAATTCAGTTCCTTGTCAGTCAGTCAGTGAAGTTCCATCAGTCTTAAGCTCTAGTTCAACCAATTACAGCTTAATTGGTCCTGGAAGTTCATAACTTCTGTTGTTCGTAAAACCTGTTGTCTTGTGGATGGTAGTTCTCCATGCACTCAAATGTCTTCGTGTCCAATCTTATTTCCCCATGAGTCTGATGGTGAAGCAGACCCTGAACTCGACGACAGCTCACTAAAACCTCCAGACACTTCAAATCCAGATACGACTTCAGTTCGCAATCAAATTACTTTCTGTGCGCAAACAACCCCTGTTTCCACTGAACGCAAACCTGTATTGAACTTTGTATGCGAGTATTGTCAAAGGGAATTCTCTCAAAAGGTGCATCTTCAGAAGCATGTAATGTCAACACATACGAAAAACAAACCATTCAAATGTTCAGTTTGTTCATACCAGACTGTTGAGAAAAGCCATTTAAAGACTCATTTCCGGAAGCATACTGGAGAGAAACCATTCGCTTGCACTTTGTGCGCTTACAGAGCCGCTCAACATTCCACATTAAAACAACACTGTCTTAAAAAGCATCGTAATGCATTTCTTTGTTGCAGAAATTGCAGTATCAGATTTGTAACTCTAACAGAACTTGAGAACCACCAAAAGATATGTTTTCCTTGATTCGATTTGTAGACAGAAGTTTTTATTTAAAGCTAATATAATAATTAGTCATTTCAATTTTAAACTGACTAATTTATGTTCGTCTAATTGGTTATGTTTATCAGCATATCGAGTACATGAAAACACCGAGAAATTTCACCTGAAAAGTACCTTATCTCGATTTAATTCCTTTGTTTGTTCTCTGAGCTTCTCGACGAGATTCAGTAAGTCATTCAACTTTTTATCCTATAGATACATATTTAACTTCAATGAGAACCTACCACTTTTTTGTTACTCTTCGAGTTCTCCATGTTTTTGTTATCGATTATCTCTCTTAAGCTGTCAATATCCCCTTGTCTCTGCTTCAGCTCGTTGTCTTGCTGATTCACCCTTTCTTTTAAAGACATTAACTCACTACTCATGCTGTCATTTTGTTTCTGCAGTTCCATCTTGGCATTTTCTAGTCTTTGATTTTGTTCCTGGATCATCTTTTCTCTTGACTTTTGTTGTCCGATTTCTTGTCTTGAATATTCTAGTTGCATTGTGAGGTCATTTATATCATGAGTTAGTTGTATCTGCTTTAACATATTTTTCTCATTTTCCTGATTAAGAACTCTTAACTGACGTTTTATTTCTTCGTGCTGCTCTTCTTTTTCCTAAAAATATACGAAAGGCAAAAAGGAATACCTAACACTTCCAGATTTTAGGAAAAGTAACTAAGTAGCTAACAAGGCGAAGTATCTTCTGAGCACCATAAGCTGAAATTTGAGTGTTTTCGGTTTGTATTATTAACCTATCATCCGTATGATGACGCAGAAATGAGGCATGAATATTTAGTGTAGCAGCCATAGTTGGAAAGATTAGGTGCCGTGATGGCTTCATTCACTTGGGGAGTTGCATTATCTCTGCGGTAATTGCTGCTGAAGTTTTGGTGTGGAAACAAAAGGCTATTCTCACCCGCTTCTTACAATTTTAGCTTCTATGAACGCTGACAAGAAACTTGGGTTTGCATCAAAGGATGAGCATACCACATTGTAGTTCAACTGTCCGACTCCATAAATAAAAAACAGCCTTTGTGAATGAATGATGTTAAAAATTCACAGGTTTGGATCACAGAAGATTAATCGGTACTTTGAGCATGTGCTTAAACCACGTGATCTTACAGTGCTTAAACTGAGAACATACTTATAAAGCAAGCGAAAGATGTGAAATGGTACCTACTGGAGTAGATGGGGCATGTACTGTATAAGCTGAGATGCCACTTACCTTAAGTAGTAACGGTAACTTTAACAAAATTAGGTTATAAAGATGTCGAGGTTGATCACACCAAAGGATAGCACCTTATTATTATTATTATTGGTCACAAGTGCAGAAGTTATTGTTGGCTATTTACCTGAGGTATCCGAAAATAATGGCTGGAAATTCTTGATGATATTCCTGCATTTACTTTTATTAGGCTATGTTTATTGTTTTGTGTCGCCTTAAATCTTAGTTTAGTTTAAAACCTTTATTCACACACTTTTTTGTGGCTTTTAGTGACTAAAACTGGAAGGGATTTATTTGAGGTTCTATTACCTATATGTCTGTCCTTTATCTAGATCATACTACGATGTTCTCTAGTGTTTTATATTTAAGTACTTATGAATTAACGGAACAAAAACAGAATAGTGCTCCTATGAAACTCACATCGAGATAAGATGTGATATAATTATTGGTAGTTGATCTTGCCGGAAGCTTTATTTAGCGCATAATACTGTATTATCGAATGCCGTTGTAAGACTGAGAGTGAGATGGCGACACTTCACCAGTAATGGTCTCATAAGGAAACGAGCGCTTAGCCTCTTTCGACAAGTATCTTCACGTGGTGGGGTTGTTTTCAAAAGAGGAGAAGGATGGGAGTGTATTTCTGGCGCTTATGACCAGATCGGCGGATCTGGAGTTCTGAAATCCTGATTCCAAACCAATGATGTATATGAGCTCCAGGATCAAGAAGGAAAGGTTGGAATAAGAACCTAGTTAGTGACCAAAAACCATAGGTATAGAGCAGCTGAAGTTGTAATGTAGACCTCAATCAAAAACTCAGGAAGGGCTCCATCTGATATCCGAACGGTATCTCGGCCGTTACACCAATCATGGAATATATACGACGAAGACTTCAAAGCGTTGATCCAACATTTTTGCGAATAATCGAATTTACTGTTTTACAAACTTATTATCCAATTCTCTGTCGTATCATCTTTGTTCTTTTTCGGATATATAAAATGCATTGTTTCGTTGTTATTATACTGATAGTTGTCTTTCTGTATCCTTGTTTCACTCAATTAATCACTTTAAATTTATGCTCTGGTTTATGCGTACAGTTTCGGATCACTAAATAGTTGCTCTGAAAAAGCTGTCTTCTAGGGTGACATCCAACTCAACCACTCTGAAACCATGCATTTTAAGCTCATTGCCTTCAAGGTTTTTACAACAAACAGGTTTGGATAATAATTTCGATGGCTGCGCCATTGATGTATGGTGGATCTTAGAGACTCATAAACAAGTGCTAAAACAAAAGCTGCACTATTTTTGACGGAAAACCAATTTACAGTCGGTGTGCTCTTAGTTTGACAGAAACTGTAAAGAGAGACAATATCTCTTCATTTCTACCTGTGCTGCATTAGAATACAGCCTGAATGCTGCTGAGGTTTTGTTCTACCATCAACTACATGGGCTCGAAAAGTATCATAGTGTTTCCAGGGGAGTCGAGTTTATAGTTCGGGCTTCTAGGCTCAGAAGAGTTGTATGAGAAGGTACTTAGGATTATTTGGTTTCAGGTTGAATAATAACAATCTTCTGCAGCATTGCGCGAATCACGACTTGTTTCCAGCATACACCAACTTTTGTCACAGTCATTGCCACTGTTCTTCGTGGTGTTATCCCTCTGCGACTCGAACGTGAACTCAAAATTTTATGTTGAATGTATTCAGGCCTCCCATTACATGTTCGGCATCTGTTTGAACTGTTATTATGCTTTCGTGGAGATCCGGTGTTCATCAAAATCTCCATTCCAAACAGGTTAACTTATGTGAATTGGTTGAACCTAGTATCTTAACTACATGCAAAACCGAGCTAGAGCCAAAACTGATGGTTGGACCTTCACAGGGTAAAGATGGTCATTGGCTGCAATCAAAAAACAACATTGAAATGGCGAGGAAAGCTGGTAATATTTCCGAAAAACCGCCCTAAGAAACAGCCTCTGCAAGCCCCATAAATCTTGAAGGCCTCTGATTTATTATAGCGGACAGTGCGTCACTCAATGACACGAGAAAACCGTGCAGAACTCATTCAAAGGCGTTGAAGCATGGCACTTAGAACAGCTTAGGCGGCTAGAATTAGCGGTTGTGTATGGCAACGGCTGGAAGCTGTTCCGGTTCATCCTCCGATAACAAGTAGCTTGATGGCTGCGTCTATGAGGTGATGAACTTATGGAAAACTTTCAGTGGCATCTGGGAAGCTGGGTAGAGCTCATCAAAAAGTAATTTAGGTGGACTAGAATGCTCCTGATACTTCTATCCTTAGTATCTTATGCTTATCGATCGTTTAATAGCCTCAACTAACGATCCAGACGTTCAGAAAAGACTCAATAATAAAGCACCAAGAAGCAGACGGTCTATGCCACTTGTTACCCGTGATTTTAAAAGATGTAGCTAGGGCTTTAGTCAGGAAGCTGACTAGAATTCTAGAACTGGGAAAGATAGTAGCTCATCCCTATGGAATGTGGCTGTAATTATCCCTATTTTTATAAAATTCATGTATGGTAATTATGGAATTATCAGCTGTGCCAAAAATATTGAATACTGTTAGTTTCTAGACTTTAAAGACTGATACAAACGTGAATCGGACTTGATTTATGCATTTGGCGTACTCTTCACACGTTCACTCCTTGTCACTCGCTGAAACAGTGCTACTTGCAATGCAAGCCAACAGTCGTTCTTTTCATGATATTAGAGGTGTCCTCAATTCGTTGCACAGGATTGTTTTCTATAATCGCCTAGTTACGAAAGGTATTCCTGAAAAGCTTACCAATATCTAGAGGGTTCTATACAAGACACTTCAAGAAGGATGAGATCATACAACCACCACCGTTAGTTGTCTCAACTCAGCCCATGGGCTGGGCAGGGGTGTCTGGTTTTGTCATCTCTCTTCATATATTCCACCGACAGAAGTTTTGAGAGAGCCCTGGATGCAGTGCATGGTGGTTTAGATCTGCTAACAAATGAGATTTTCAACCTTGAGGTTCCTGACGATGTCGCCTCAGTGTGCCACAACGGATAGGGTACTCAAGCATAACGCAGAGTAGTACTTCGATGGAACATCTTTTTGAACCCATTCTTCATCGACTTCTTTCTCTGCATCTCATGTCTTTTCGCCAAATAGCTTGCTTTACTGCATCATATGTTCTACAGTTTTTTGAACTTTTTTATTCTATCGCACTGACCTAATTTTATCCTCACCTTAATTTGCTTGTTCGGCCTCCCTTACTGTGGTATGTATCAAATAAATGTTGCGAAATATCCAGGAAGTTGTTCTGAGGGCAATCATCAAAAACATTTTGTTAAGTAGTGAATATAAGTTGTCTATATTTCTGGGCATTTAAGTAGACTTTTTCAATATGCAACGACTTGAAATAAACGCGAAAATATAAGCTGAATTTCTGAAGCAGACCACTGTATCGTGCCCCAAATAGTGACAAATTTTCATGGGAAAGTGTGTGGTGCAAATTCTAAGGTAAAATCTGTACTTGCCTGTAACAATTTACCGAATGTCATACGATAGTGGATCATTGGATTAAATCTTCATAGGATGTATATTGGAGTATATTGGTTCAAGTTGCCACACTACACAGCAGTATGAAAAGAACAAATGGAAAGATAAATACTGATATTGAAGCACACAGTATGTGGCCTCAAAAGAATTTGAAAATCAAACTCCAAATATTCAAACATTTAGAACATGACAAAGAATGGATGGATATGCAACATTATGACCAGTTTTCAGCCAACGATTTCATTAAGAGTCTCCAGTCATTTATTCCTACGGTCTTGTAGACCCTAGCCAGGTAATCTGTGCCTCCTTACATGGCTCAAACCAGCAGTCAAGGACTGTTACCACATCTAAATATAACCAGTGTTAGTCTTCTTCGAAACCTACCCTACTTCAGCTTACAGTTCACATCAAGGGAAGCAGGGGATCGACATGCGCAACACATGTTTAGGCCACCTCAGTCGGAGATTTGCAACCTCGTCGACTAATTTGTATACGTTACTTAGCACGCTTTAGCTGACCTCAGAATTGCTAACATGATTTCACCACACACGAGAAGTGCCGCGAAGACACCTGTGGCTGAAATTATTGTAACCATATCATCCTTTTACAGCACCTAAGTATCAACCATATGACAGGTCAGGTGAAGCTTCACCGCCGCATACTCGTCCTATGATAGGTAGCTTGTTGCATCTCCGGCACTAGAGGTAATGTAAGATGACAAATACTGAACAAGGCATTTGTCGCCGAAGTCAGATTTAGTCAGCAAACAACCCTTTTGGGCTGGAGTGACTTCTCCAAGTAAGTGAGATGGTCATCACATTCAACCACTTCACTTCTTCTTCTTCTCAAACTATGAGTAGCTGCAAATCGGTCTTGAAGCATCATGTTGAAACTGAAAGTGCAAAACACATGCTAAGCACACACAGATTTCTGCTCAAGGTGTTAAGAAAAGTCGGCGTTTTATCAAGATCATCGCTGATATGGTAATGTTGCCTACGTACCCTAGGTTTACCAGGTATCCTCCTTGGAGTAATTCAATCCTTGTAAAGCCAGAGGTACTTGGGTTTGTGCCCATTAGTACGTCTATAACAAAGTTAAGCAGAGACAGTGAGCATCCCTAGTTGACACCACTGGTTTTCACTACTTCCGATAAAAACCTTTATACGGCTGCTTGATTTCCAGTAAAGAGTTTTGATGCATACTTTCTCGGTAATCTCTTCATGGTCGGACACAGCCACAACATCTCTTGGTCGACAGAGACAAACGGTGTCTTCAGGTCAAGAACTATGCCAAGCGTCGACCACCAGCAAGTATGCCTGTTTTCTTTAACCTGTCGGAGATTGAAAGTCCGATCGATGCACCCTCTTCCAGAACTGAAACCTGTCTGGTTTTCTTGACTTCGGTGTTCCTGAGCTCCAGTTTATCGTCGGATAACTATGAATTAAGAAACTCGGATACCATTTTGTCAAACTGACTCGCATATGGTTGTCACTAGGTTTTTCTTTTTTCTTGCGGACTGAAATGATCAGTGAACCAGAAAAATTTGATGGGACTACCTCTGATTCTTGTGCACTATCTGCTATCTCCCTCAGTAATTTCTCACCATCATCCTTGTAAACATCTGGAGGCTAACCGTTGGATCCTGCTACTTTACAGCGTCTTCGTTTTAAGTTATCAGCGGAATTTTATCACGAAAACTAAGTAAACTTACTGAGTTTCAGTAGTAAGTAAATTTTACAAGGTAAATTCTCTCAAATAAACGCCCAATGTTTGCTCCACTGCTCTCTTCCGAAGCGCTGTAAGCCATTTATTCTCTTAAGGTTTGTAAACAATTTTACCTAAGATTTTAGTCTAAATGATAATGAATAAATGAAATTTGTTGTTTATGGATAGAAAAAGTTAGTACTGTTTGTTATTGCTTCATTCATAGATTACGGTAACTTAGATAATTGTTTGAAACTGGGATAAATGGTGTTTTTTAGTTGTCTTAGATTTTTGCACATCATAGTATGTACACAGTAGGTTTTCAACCTTATCTAAGACTGTTATTAGTAAACTTTTGCTTATAGAAACTAGAAGTATTTCTAGAGATCAATCGTGCATGCTGTGTGTTGTGTTTGATGGAGATTAAACACCAATTTTTGAAAGCTTACCTTCATTTCTAAGTGCATCATATTAAGATCTTTTTGGTGCTTTTCATCTCTCATTTTCAGTTCATGGAATTTGGTTTCAGAAACTTGAAGAAACTCTTTAGATTTCGAAGCATTTAGCCTGAAAATATTTCATTTGAATTTTAGTCTTTACTTTTCTTCCTGTAGTTCTATTTCAACATCAGCGGTCCTCTTTTTCAGCTCATTCATTTCGCGGCGAATCGTTTTCACTTTGTCCTACGGCTTAATAAGTACAATAAATACCATTCGTACTTGAAGAAGTTTAATAAAGGTTTGTGCCTTCAAATGACTTTCTTGAGATTCACCGTACTTAGCATGCACTGCATCATTATCCACCTTTATTGACAGATAAAGTATCTCAATAACCAGGTACCTGCAGTTTTTCGTTCCGAATATGACACTCTTCTAGTGCTTCCCGAAGTTTATTTTCCCTTATACGTGAGGATTCAACTTCTTTTTCCAGTTCTACAACGTTTTCCTTAAACATGATCTAAATATTGTTTGTTTCAACCAAATGGATTTTCTAACCAAGCCTTCGTGATCAGATTTTAGAAGCTGATTTTCCATTGTGAGGTCAACTAAAAATAGAAGTTATCTGTTGTGAATCAAAAGTACCACATGTTTGATAAAGACGCATTTCGAAATCACGCATGATAAATGATCTGGGGGAAATAAGTTGAAGTTATTTGTTACCTCTCTTTAGTTTCTCTAACCAACTCAAGAATGCTTTGTTTCTGTTTACTGAGGTTGGTAAGAATTTCTTCATCTTTTATATTTCTTTGTTCCTGCAACAAAAAAGTTTGTTAACAACATTCCTTATTTTATCAATAGTTGAATTAACATGCTTTCGTGATTCGATTTCTTGATTTCCAAGGTTAATAATTCTTTCATGAAAGGTATTCAAAAATTTTAGTTTGATCTCCCATTTGTGGTAGAACTCATAACACAAACACTTGAGCTTTTGGGCTTCTTTATCCGTAGTCCGCAACCTCTCTTCAAATTTTTCTTTACCCATCTGAAACGGATTTTTGATTCTCGAATGCCTTACCTCCTCATTTTTTAAAGCATTTTCCAGATCCTTAATACGCGAAACGTACTTCTCATTTGTGCATATGTGGTTTTTCTCCGACTCTTTTAGCTCAACTAGTCATTTATTACTGAATTGCGTGCAACAAACTCTTTTCAGTGCTGAGCTGGTCAATCTCAATTTGCAGTTGAATCACCTCGTCTTGGTACCTTTGTCTGCAAAACAGTAGCTCATCTGCCTGAAAACATCATCAATCCCTTCAAAGAGACTTACCAGGTCTTTATTTTTTTCACCTAATTTAGTGTTTGATTCTTTAAGTGCTTTCAGATTAAATTTGCTATTATTGACTGAATTGTTATACAAACTTTTTAAAACAGTTTACCAAAACTTTCAACTCTCTTCCATTTTTTTTAAACATTGGCCTGAGTGTCGAGCGAAGTTACTCCTGATATCTATGAAGTTCTGTAGGAGTGAGGTACACAACCATTCCATCTGGAAGAACTTTTTCTTTACTACAAGCAATAACAGCATGCTTCAAGAGGTTACTTGTTAAACTCGCTTCACCTAATTTTTCAATTTTCACCTCTAAGACGTCATTATTATCTTTAAGATATGAAATTCTAGGTTGTTTTTTAACAGCTTTTCTAAAAGCAACCTTACTTTTCTCTCAACTTGTCTCTTCGCACTAGTTCATCTTTATATTTAAAACTAACATTTTCTAAATTCATCTAAACGAGGTATTATGTGACTTCCACCCTTACTTGAAGGTCGACGTTCGCTCTTCTTAGATTTTCCACCAGAGACTGAAATGACTGCAAGTGCATACACTTTTATTTGTGGAAAATGCAATTACATTACGTTTACCTTTTCCTTCAATTTTGATAATGTATCACATTTCCAAGTTTCCAAACTGTCTGCTTCGTGTTTCAAACGTTTGTACAAAATATCGAGACTGGGGGAAAAAGTTAGTATTACATCTTACTTGTTGCATAACAACATGTCTGAAACTGATTTATCCACTGTAATGAAACTCTCCACAGATTTATCACAATTATCATCCATACGGTTTTTTTCTTCATCCATATAATCTGGGCAAACCTTGGAGACCTGACGAAAATTAACACATTCTTCAGAAATAGTTGACACATTTTGGATATCTGGGGATTGAATTAAGCTGTCTTTGTGTTTTTTGTTCAAAAAGCTGAGCATTGGTGAAACTGGAGACGTTTTCGGTATCCGCATATCACCTGTCGGTGAAGTGGCCTGGCTTGATCAAACCATCTGCCGTGGTGGGGGATTTGTTGGAGCGTGTGTCGATAGACGACTTTCTTATATTAGAAATTTTCGGTGACATTGAAGAAAGCTGAGCCGCACCATTTTTTGCATTACTGCTCTCAGATTTCAAATTTTTCTTCCACTTGTTATCTATCCAGCTTGTTTTTGGAGACGCTAAGATGTGTACATCTTCTGGAGCTGAAAATCGTTCGCTTCCAAAGTAGTCATCATCATCTAGATCGCATGTCGAACTTGCACTGCTATCGTCCAACCCGCTCCAAAGCAATGTAGATGGCCGCCTGCTATCCAGTTGCATTGGTTCTGTAAATCCCTTTCCATGCAATGAAGTTTCTTTTTTATGGAATTGATTAAAAATGCTGTTTTTCAAAAACATCACCTGACAACTAATCACCGTACCGAAAACGCCCCGTATGAGTTATCGAGGAAAAGAGTTCATTTTTGTTGTTAGATTGTTCTAACAACAGCGTTCCACTATCCAATGTAAAAAAGCCTAAGGAATCAAATAGACGCTAACCAACCGTGTAATGTTATAAGTTATGTACGAAGAGAAATAACACATGTTACTCGCCAGCGTTTGCTCAAAATAGCTGGGTGTGTCATAAATTTTCGGATTCAGTTTTGTAGTTTGAGGATGAAAGGCTATGAGCCTAAAATAATCCTTTTCCGGTTAGTCTCTGCTCTTGTTCCGTCCTCTTTTGAACGAATCAGTTGAAGGTGCAGATACCAATTTTGTGAGAGTTGGTTCCAGGCGTTGATTGCTGAACTCTTGAACCAGCTCGCACAGCCTTATTAGATCTCCCATTTCTATGTGATGAGATGAACAAAAAGGTTCAGCTCCTAATGTCTTTCCCTTGTGGGTCAGGCTAGCCATCATAGCGATCAAAGGTGTGCGCCTCTACTAAACTGCTTTCCAAAGGTACGAGATAACTCTGCAGGCTGCAGCCAATCGACTCTGGATTGTGGTCTTCAAATCACGGCCTACTCTGTCACTGCTGGTAAATACTGAGGAGTCCCATCACCATCGTATGCGTTGACGTCTTTATGCCTTGTAATGTTCACGCAAGTGCCCGCTTTGGTAGACATCGGCCATTTGTCTGACTAGGTTAACAAGCTTGTGGCGTCACACGCTTCTTCAAAATCAATAGCCTAGGGTTTGACGACTTCGACATTGATGCTGACCTTGACAGTTTAACTGGACTCGCTAAGCTGAAGGCACCTGGTCAAGCATCCTCGCCATTTGGCACGCTGTCGTGTTACATTACACTGCTCGTATTCGACTCCCCAGCCAGTTAGTTGGAATGCATAAATATCTTGGCACAACCATCCAAATATACTATTCCATCCGACTACGCTATCGTGTTCTTCCTTGGTCTCGTATTCGTGGGTATATAACAAGTCCGAATAATTAGTGATCGGTCTTTGCGTCTGTCGGGTTAGCACCAGGACAAATCCTGAAATCTCTTTAGGTCTCTCTGGGGTGTACGTAGATCCTCATAATCTCTTATTTATCGTCGGCCCATTACATCAACACTGTAGGGAAAAATCGGGAGATTTCGTGTTATTTGGCAGCTTGTTTGCGTATAAAAGAAACAGCACCGGATCCAGAACTGTGTAATGAGGCACCCCACCCTCTACCGACTTTCGGGAAGAGACTTTGAGATTGGTCCCTATTGTTTGTTTCCTGCCAACAAGGAGATTTTTGATCCATGTGGGTAGGCTGCCAGTAACTACGAAGCTACAGTTTCTCGAACGGCCTGGAATAAGACACCTTGCTGAAGTTAGCAGCCATATTCGCCCCTCACACCCTGGGTTCACCCGGGGTATCGGCTTTGCAGAAGACGGCTCCTGTGAATCTGAATCTGGCCACGGCGTGGTTTCCATCACAAAAAAGTGCAAGGCGATGGATGAGGCTGAAATCCTCTGTGTGGGAGAATACTGAGCCCAGAACTGGTTGAGCATGATGATGATCGTATTGGGCTGCTGCTTTTATGTTCCGTACAACGGCCAAGTAGACCGATGTTCCGTACAGCGGCCAAGTAGACCGATGTTCCCATTAGCCTCCAGGTCCAATAAAAGCAACGACATATAAGATACAGCTAACGTATGCAATGACGAAGACCAGGTATTGCAGTTTTATGATTTCTAAGAAAAGGAACGTAGTAAATCATACCGAAGGCAGGTGTGCTTGTTGTTGTAGGTCGATAAAACTATCGAGTCATAACCAGAAAGCAGGCGATAGGTAGTGAAAACAAGTAATTCTCACCTGCTGTATTTGATTAATACTTATTCCATGGATGTAGGCAATTATTTTCGTAGTAAGAAGATAAATACCGGTGCTGATGTGGAACCACTTATATTATTCCTGTACAGCCCTGCAGAATGGGATTAAGGGAGACAAACGTGCCAAAATTTTATCTATATTTGAGAATAATGTAAAAAAGACCGGCACGTCAGTTCCATGATTTTAGTTTGCTTATCTAGACCGAATTCGCCTCCAGTCCACCAAATCTAGGCTGAGGCGGGCTGTAAGAGCATAAAGGAAAGGCATTAATAGGCTGCTTTCGTCTGGTTCAGATACTATATATATTGGTTATTCTGTGGCATAATTGTTGCTTAGATGTGCAAAATGGCGCTGGATATTTTGGAACTGAAGGGTAAGGAATGGCTGTCCGTGTGCAAACCATTTAGCTGTGTGTTGCTCCGCTTCGGACTTTGAAATGTTCGCATAATACGAAGATCTCAGGAATTCAAGGCTAAAATGACGATAAGTAATTGTTTCAGGGACAATAAACATGAACAAACCCATGGGAAATGTCTGTAGACACTTTTCTGCTTCATGTAACTTAAGCGAAACGGAGTATCGTCAAGAATGAAGTGGGTTTTTTAACTTTATCTTTTTGGATTTCCTGCTTCTTCTTCCGGATGCCTTAGGAAATATAACTTATATTATTAGCTGCAAATGGGACGACGCTCAAAGGAGGAAGCTAAGTGTAGGCTGAAGTCACCACTTCCTCATACAGACAAACAAAGTTGTAATGGTACCGGATATCTTAGTAATTCAGTGCAAAGTTACCCTTCAAAGTTTTTGTTATTTGCCGCTAACTCAACTCATATTTTGACCTCAGCAAAACTTATGGTGTGCGGGACGGCGGCCGAAGAACTAAGATGTGCAATAACTATTTCAAACTTCGTAAAGTATCTTTGGAGTTATACTCCCGAATAAACTGTCTCCTCCATCTTTGATCTTATCTTACACAATGGTGTTACGAGAGCAACTCTTGTTTGCGTGAAACACAAATTTCAACCAGTGTCGCTCGTGATTTCAGACTGTAACCGCCCAAGCGAAATGGATCACATATGAAGTCGACGGTCAGATACCTTTATTGAAATCACAGTTGGGAACGAGAACGGAAGCAAGCAACGCAGAGGTTCGTGTTAGAAAATACAAAATGAGAGTATTCTTTGTCACAATAAATTGCGAATACGTAGCAGATATCCCAGGTGAAAAACTCATTTACATGTCTCAGCCAATCGGTTGATGACAACTTTAAACCTCCAAGACTCCATCTCTTCACACGCTCGTTAGAATCTCTTCGTGGTTTAAATGTTAAGTCATGGAAAACAGTTAAACTGATGCACACACTACTATGCATTGTTTTCACAAGCGCCGCTTCTGCATTCCAGCCGTACAGTATGAATGCCGTCATAATTATTTGCGTCCCTTACACTCTCTCTGCCAGTGGCTCTTTAGTGTAGTCAGCAACGAACGTTACACAATTTCCTGAACCTGAGCCATATGCAACAAATATTTCGGTAATTTCTATTGTGGAATCTGTGAATATGACTTGTAGAGAAGCTATATACAAAGAAACCTACCTATGTGCGTTGAAAAATTGTTTCGTCCATCCGATCATTGACGTCCAGATGTCAGACAGGTAGCAGATAGAACTTGACCTGCAGCTTTTTTCCCACCCCAATATTCATGCCCACGTGACCAGTCAATATTTCAGGCTGCTACCACTAAGATCTCTGTGACGAACTGTGCCGGCGTAAAGTGTGCATACCTCTTCAAATCATGGAAGCGTATGGCGTTTGTGGTTTATACATCACTGAAGTATTTAGTGGTGGCCCTATTAAAATCGTTAAATGCTGCTTTGCCGTCTTTCCGGGTTACAAATTATGCCGATATCACAACTTGCTTGAGAACTACGGTCGGCCACGTGATCAGTTTCAATGGAATTTAGCGCACACGGGTTTATGCCATTGTCACTTTTCTTGAAGAGAGTGCAAGAAAGAATGTAGACGCTTCTCCATCGATAGCTTACTGGCTAAGTGACTTGAATGTGCGTCACTGCCTGAATTGCAGCATGTGACCTTCAATCAATATCGCCTGTTCCCCGATGACCACCGGATTCCTCCCACTGTGCTGGTAAGTTCAAAAGTTTCGTGCTAGAAGCTGAATGGCATGTTTTTGATGGGTATCTTATACAGCTGCAGTCCTCAAGCGGACACCGTCTATAAACATAAGGAGTGAAAATTATACTGACTGCTGCGTTTTGATATATAATGGTCGGATGGGCCGCATCTCACCAAGATGCTGAATCCCTGTCTGTGTTTTGTAAATCTAGGTTCTCTCTACCCTTTCATAGTTGTTCCACGATGATACGACGGACGTTATCAGCAGGTAGTTCACTCAGATATTAGAAAACTGGTTGAAAGTCCTTGTCATTGGTGTTGGAGATCAGGGCCACTGATATCATACATTTGCTTCGATATTCCTTCCTGCGCGCCATCTGGAAAAAGATGTTAACAGGCAACGCAGTGTCGAGGAGAAAGGAAGTCCCATCAAGAGACCCTCGTGCGCATACGTACGTATACATAAAACCTGGAAGTCATGTTTGTTAATGGTTGTACGTGGTTGTGTCGACCCAACTGACTTGGTCATTCAAGAGGGTGCTAAGAGACTCGCTGTGTTATTGTGTGTCTAATCAGGCCTACCTTAGGCAAGTTACATTAAGGAGGGTGTTGTAGTGGAGCTACTTTTACCATACCGCTTGGTACACCCTATGCAGAATCAGCATTTTATCTAAAGGACAAAGTACCGGTCGGTTCAGTGGCTGCTGTACGCGCTTGATGTTTTATTCACTCAGGGGATCTAATATGCTGAAAGTTGTGGAAATGGGCTTCTGAATCTAGCATGTTTGTCGGGTGGCTGTAAGTTAAGGATTTGTCTGGCAAACGGCTGAGCTCAGTAGGTGAGCTAGAGGCTCTAATTTCAACAGGGAGCTAATCCCATATTTTAGAGAGCCTGACGGAAAAAAGTGAGAAGGCGGCGCTGCTCTAAAATTTAACTCCGTATGCTTGGTTACGTAC